CTTCCGAGTAGCCGGAATTACAGGCATGCGCTACCATGCCCCGCTGATTTTTTTTATTTAGTGTAGAGATGAGGTCTCGCCAAGTTGCCCTGGCTGGTCTCAAACCCGCAGACTCAGGCAATCCACTCACCTCAGCCTCCCAAAGGCGTGGGATTACAGGCTGAGCCACCGAGCCCTGCTTAATTTACAATTTAAATTTCAATAATATTTTAATCCCTATTTATGCCTTTCAACTTATTTTTTTCTAATTAAAATGCTCTTTCTCTTGTTTTCTTCAAAAGTGAAAAACTCAAAGCTAATTTCCAAGAATGTTGGTGTATTCTCTGTTTTGCATCTAAGACAGTGCAGTGCATACAATGTTTTGCCTTGTGTTATATTATTCTGATGTTTTTCTTTCTTTAAATAGAAATTCTGTACCACCAACTAATTCAAGAAGACAATAAATTTTAAGATACATACTTAATAATGATTTGGAATGCTTTCCAAAACAACTAATAAGATCTCTTATAATGTACTATGTGCACAAATTATGTTGCTGGCCAACTGGACTTTGGGCAGGAGCTAACTCTATAATTCAATGTAGCTGACACTCATCAAAACATTCTGAAATCCCCAACACCCCACTCGGCACTTCTACAAGGCTTTTTGCAATCAGTGATTCTTTGCCAATCTTACTAGCTGGCAGTCATTGATGATGGTTGTCTATTATAATACTGGGGTGCAGTATAGAGAAGAAGGTGAGATTGAATTGAGGAGGGGTTGTGGAACAGCATAGGGCACAGGAAGGGCAAAATGTCATTTTCGGTCAGGTATTTGAATAGTAGCATTGCCCAGCTTCATCACTGTCAATCCAAAAATCAACACCAAATAAGTGACAAGATGGGCTCTTATTTTTGCCTTCCTGAATCTTAACAACAAATATTCATCAAAATGTCTCCTCAAGGCAACAGAAGAAATAATATCTCTTGGTTTGATTTATTTCATGTTTTATTGATTTTAAATTTTTCAATTTATTCTATTTTCATAAACACAAATAAAGAGTGCTACAATGTGATAATTTTGAGCATTGAGAGATTTTTTAAAAAGATAATCATGTTAAGGTTGGACACAATAAACAAAACTGTAAAGAACTTCCAATTTGAAACCATAATTAGGAAATTATTTTATTAACATATATCAATTATCATCTACACATTTAAGAGCTCAGTAGCAATCATCTTCCTCTAAGATAATATTATGAAACAATTACACAGATTATAGAATAAGGAAACTACAGATTAAAGTTATTTTTAGGCATTAAGACAGTTTAGTAATAAGAATCTCACTTTGCATACTAGTCTTTCCACTTCGTTGATTTGAATATATGAACCATAAAACACCACTAATATCAGCTTTAATGTGTGTTTTCTTCTGATGAGTTGAAATAAAATATTTTCCATCATACATTTTGTTGGTTTATGGATGCTGTTAGTGAAAGGATGACATAACAGCATTTTTATAAAGCAACTACACATGGACTGGAATTTTTAGGCCACAACTTACAAATCTATGTTTTCTTTATTGATTGACAGTTTAAGCCTCATTACCATTTTTATCTCAATCAACTTAAAAGATTTACAGGTTTGAAATGCAATAAATATGCAAAAAAAGATGGGAGAGACCAATTAATAAATGCATGTCCAAATCTGTTTAGTTATCTTTAGTTAAATATTCTAATAAAAGGTAGGAAAAAAAAAGAAAAAAAACTGAAGTTCACTGGATCCAGTTGCACAGCAATAGCTATGGAAAGTCACTGGAGAACTATGAATTTAGCTTTGTGAAAAAACTCCTAGACTCAGGGGACTCCAAGACCTGGGAACACTAAGTGTAAATATAGCATTTTGCAAATAGTATTTACTAAGACATAACATTAAGACTTTAATAAAATGGCTTGTAATTTTAGAAAATATGTTACTATGACAAAATGTTAAGTTTGAGCTTTGAAAATGTATTGTAAATTACAATTTAAAGGCACTTTAAAATAATAGAATATTTTTACGTTAGTAGAATGTTAATGAACCAGAATTAGAACCTACCTTTATAAATGCTAAGGGTAATAAACATCTGAATAAAACATTAAAAATAAAACATCCAATTCATTAAACTGATAATTATTTAAACTCATATTTCATTTCAATTTAAACTGAATATATTTTTATCACTACATATTTAAGATAATTTAAAATTTTTTTAAAAAATGCCATTTCATTTATTTTGAATCACTTTAGTCATTTATCTGTGAAATATCCAAATATAATAATCTCGTAAAATAGTTTATTTATATATTCGTTATTCATCAACACTACATTAAGGAATATTAACAAAGCATAGTTACATTATCTTATATATATGTATGGCATTAAAATTTATTATTGGTAACAAAAGTCATCTTAAAAATACGTGTTATAAAACATTAAGAAAGAAATTAGATATGCAAATTCCTTTACGGCGGTTCAAGAATTAATTTGCTGGAGGTCATTCCACATGAACAAAGGAAAAACTGCAAAACTATTTTACAGATTGGAAATAAGATAACTTCATCAGAAAACAAAATTGTGTAATATGCATAATAAAACAAATTAAAGACAGTACTCTAAAACCTTGTATCCCATTGGTAACATGACCAGATATCCAGACTTCATGAAAACAAATGGATTGCCATGTGTTTTGAATGCTGAAGCGTGAAGGATTAGTTGGAAGTTTTCACCTTCTTTTTGCCACTTCCCCATCCGCCACTGAGTTGTACAGGATTGTCACGGAATGAAATACGCTCTTTTTTGGAAATCCTTGTATCTGCTGTCATTGGTGCAAGTACTCCCTTAATTGAACAACCTAGATGTAATATTAAATACACACTTTCACTTAATATGATCCAAGTAAAATTATATTTTAAATCAAGAATTATATTCAAGTCAACAACATGCATTTGAAAATTCTGGAATCATCTAGCTTAGTTTGTTTTTATTTGAATACATTGTGTTTAGTTTAATCATAAGAAATTAACTAAAAAATTTCAATAAATATGACAATTTCCTTCTATCTACAGATTTAAATGTTCATGGGGTTTCAAAACTATGAAATGATAAAACTTAGTTTTTAAGTATTGATATTTGCTTACAAGTTCATAAATGGCATAAAGCTTTATAATTGTTTATATTTTTATATATACTATATGTTTACACTTGTCTGAGAACTAGTCCTATTGAATTAAGGACTTCTTCAGAAAAATGGGTTCTTGGTAAAATGGAACATATATTAGACCTAGGATCTCAAGACATACATGTTTTACTTTGGCTGCATAAAAGACAGCATTGTGTTTCTGGACAGGTCCTAGTCTTTCTGGACCTTAGTTTCATAAATGAGAGATAAAATACATGCATTACAGAGTTATTCGGAAGATTGACCTTCTGATTATATTGTAATGGTAGTAAGATCTGTCAGAATGCTTTCTACACAGGTGCTATAACTTGGAAGAAATTATTATTTAAACTTAACACGTTCAAAACTATCCTTGGAAAAATAACAAATACTATTAGGGGTTAAAAACAATAGTCTTTAGAATGGGTAGTAGATTAGGACTGTTTTACTCAGAAAGACCCCAAGATTCCATATAGATAATACTATTAAAGAATTATGGTCATCTGCTTTAAATCTCCTGAGGATTAAGCAGAAGCACAGGCCTGTGTCTCTGGGGAAAGGGTTTGAAAAGCAACAGAGTGAAGCATCCTGGGGCTTCCTCAGTACTGGCTTGAGGCAAAGGTTCTCTATTGTGATGCTTTTGTGCTTAAATAAGTATAGGAGGAAAAATCTACTGTTTTCTTGCGATTAATACTGTTCCAACTAAAATTTTAAATATTAAAAAATGTCCAAATTGAAGATTTGGCAAATATCGGATCATTTGAGAAAATCAATCTGTAATTTCAAATTTGATTCAACATGATGGTGAACATTGATTGTAAAAGTTCATTTTACAAGCTCCTTAAAAATCAGAGTATTGCTTTTTGGTCTTCACTTGCAAAATTGTGATTAGGAACACAAACATAAAGGAATTAATGAACACCCATGAAGGGAACATACTTTATCTTTATTCCACAAAAAGAACAGTGCTAAAAATCAGGAAAAAAGTTAAAAGCAACTGTTTTAAAAAAGAGCACGCAGGACTCAAAAGAGGCCAGTTCCTATGACTACAAGCACAATCTGTAATGGAGTTCGTCAAAACATAGCTCAGGAGTTTTGCAACCTTCACAGCGGGCACTCGTGAAGGCAATAACAGTAGTAGAGAGACTAACTAAGAGAGATGCCAACTGAAGTTGACTTCCATATGTGAGTCAGATTTATACCGCGTTAAGCTACTCCCAGTGAGTCAGTCATGCTTTGCAGAACTGCACGAAGCCACAGGATTATTACTAAGCATAAAAGCAAGAATGCCCTAGATGATAAACTAGTGACCTAAAAAGTGTTAAGAAAACTTTTAAAAATGTATCCTCCTTCTACTAAATATTTATATATTGGAAATAGCTAGTTCAATATTTTTCCCCAGATAATGGAATGGAATATCTACTTTGGTCTGTTAAAAAAAATAATGGTAATAGTAAACCCTAACCTCATGCCAGCAGTAAAAATTATTTGATGAATGCACTATCCTCTCTATACCAAGTACGTATTTATGATAACTTATTATAAAGGGAGAGTCCTGGGGTCAAGGATAGGGGAAGGGGAAGCAGAGTGTCAGAGAAATGAAGAGTTATTGGGACATCTTTATAATTCAGATATATTTCTTTGAGATAAAAATAGAGATCAATAAAAGTGTAGGCAAATATTCACAAATGACTAACACAAATATTTTGTTCCAATAAAGTCAAGTTTCTTTCCAAGCATTATTTAAGGTAATAACTAGAAATAAGTATGTATTGAATTGTAATAACATAGTGCATTATTGGTTAAGAACATTTTGATGAAACTATTCTAGTATAAAGAAATATTATTTAAGGTTATTAGTCTTAATATAGGCTTTTGCCAAAGATGACAAGTAACATGGAGGATTGTAGCACTTTTTTACAGTGTCTTGATATATTTATAGGTAATTTCACATGCTTCTAAAATAATTATTTCAGAATAAAATAGACTGAATTGCACTGAAGCATAGGTTTTCTTTAGACTAAACTCTTAACAGTGTTTCAACATTCTAAAGGATTCTTCTATTGCCTAAAAACTTTCCGCATGGGACCATTTTCTCCTAATACTAGTCTATTGTTTTTGCTCTGTTGAATCATAAATCTGTTTGTACTTATCCACAATGTAATGCTATGTTTTAAAAGTCAAGGTTGGAAAATTTTCACTGTTTAATATAATTCCTTCAACAAATAATAATTACAATTTAATTAACATATTATGTGATATTATAAGGTTGTTTTACAGCAATTATCAAGTATATTTTCACTAGTATAAAAATGCTTCAGAAATATGGTCTTAAAAACAGCAATACTTAAGTGAATATGCAGTGCTTTTGTCAAAACTATATTTTAGAAGAGATTAATAGCTTGAGGTTCATTGTTCTGCTATGTGTAAATAAACAATTTGAGTAGCAATCAATATTGCTTACTCTCTCATTGGATTTAGTGAGGTTTTTTTGTTATCATATAAATTCCCAAATCACTAAGTATATAGAAAATAAATTGAGGAGTAAAACAACACACTTCTGAAGGAATCACATATTGGCATTCATTTCAAAGTCATTACTTTGTCCAGCGATTACTGTAGAAATGAGAAAAGAAAATAAAAAAGCAATTTAATACAGTCAATGTATAATCATTCTAAAATTACTTATCCACATGAAAACAAAATAACAAGAGACTCTTGCCTCAAAAAATTGATATCAGAGCTAACCTACTGATGGACTCATGGAGCAAAAAACAAAATGTATGATTAATGGAACTTTGACAGTTTTTTCTATTTTCTGCAATTTATTGTTATAGATTTTATGTTTCTTTAACAACAATCTGCCACATATTTGTAGGTGAGCATAGAAGTGAACAAATGAGTCTCTTATATATGTGTTGAAATTATGTCTTGGTGAGTATGCTCTGTTTTTGAAGAAGTCATTTCTTTGCTACATAATCTATGTTCTGCTCAAGATTTGTTCTGGTCCTTTAAAAAAATATTTGTGTGTGTGTGTGTGTGTGTGAAATCCTTGGTTCTTTAACAGATGTCAAGGTCTGTATGTGCTGTGTTTTGATGAATAATTTAATATGTAAAATGCTTTGAATAACTCTCCTGGTATGTATTTTTTAAAAAACTGTTAAAGAGGTCAAAATAGAAATTGCATGATGTATAGTAATAGGTCATTTGATTTTCATCAATATACCCAAAACTGTGTGTCTGGATATACAACTTATTTCAAAGTTTTTCCTATATTTTATTTCTTAAAAGTAGATACTGTACAGTAAAGCGTGCTGAAGAAAATTTTCAACATTTTAATGAAAGTGACCAGAACTAACTTTTTAACAGCAAAGCAATTACATCAATATAAGTGATGTCAATGAATTACATTGACAACCTTTGGAGTTGAGGTGGATATTGCACTGGTCAAATAACAGTTGCTTTTTAAGAACATTGCTACATCTAATCTTGAATTATAATCATCATTTATAGTGGACTTAAGGTAGATAATTTAATGAATAAATATGTGAATAAAAATAGTAAATAGCAAACAGATTGTTTATGCTATGTTTGGATTTCCTAAATATAACATGTTGATTTTGCTTGGTTTTGAGATTGTTTTCCAATGTTTCAGTGAGTAAAAGTTTCCCTAAAAATTATAAAAATTAGTAAAATTTGTGTTTCTCAAAATCCTAATTGAACAAAGACCCAGTTTTTCTATGTATTTTAAATTTCAGAGACATAGTAATAAGAAAATCAGTTAAGTTTGGTACACCTGATAGTCATGAAAACATCTATAGTGTTATTGGTGTTCATAATCAAGATGCTTTTCATAAAATCAAAACATGTGTAACACTTCTTTTGGTCTACGTATATTTGTTTGGAAAAAAAACACAAGAATTGTAAAAGCTAATACATATAGGGTGGGGAATCTTATTTTGATAGATGTATAGATTTTTACACATATATTTTGTCTGCTTATATGACCTTTTATAATAGTTATCATGTATATTTGATATTTGAATTTTTGAGGTTGCCTTATAATGTGTATTGTTTTTCCAGATTTTATTTTTAACATACTAATGTGTTGACTTCCTCTTAACGATACCCTGTGACTGTGTTTGTACAGACAAAAATGGCTTGGTTGTGGTGCTAAAAATGGGGAGCTAACTATACTGTCTTTCTCCTCTAAATTCTGTGATTCTTATACTATTATTGGTCAATATTGTTTATACTTTTTTTTGGAAGTTTTTTTTTTCTCCTTTGGTGATTTGATTTGGTTATGAAATCTAAATTGATTTTGTGATTTGATTCAGAACTAGATTAACCATCCGTCATATGGCCTTTAAATAAATGAAAACCCTTCTTTCCATTTGTAACTATTTCTTGTAACACTGGTTATTGTGGTTTTCAGGCTTCCCACTAAAATAGTTAACTATTGGATAGTTAAACCTCAAAGTGGACTACATAATCAAAAGTGTAACCCAATAAGCAATCAAGAGCGAAATCTGACAATCTATAACCTTCATAGACCTATCATCTTCTACACATAGGTTTCTGAAAGGGTTCTGTAAATCAAGTCATATAAGTCCCGTATCTCTTGTCAGTTTGGGAAAGGTCTGTTTCCACACTTTCCAATCATTCTCTTTAGATCTGTTCAATTTTATTATATT